ATACTCAAGAGAATAAAAACCTACCACAGAGTTATCCTTGTGCTCACATTTATTGTAGCACTGTGCACAACCGTCAAATCATAACTTCAGTCTCAGAGCCCATCATCAGAAGATAAATCAAACATAAGTTAATATATTAGATATATTAATATGTTTATAATTAATATTCTAATTGTATGTATTGTGCTATGTATAATATATACTATATCATATATAGTCAACAGAGTGTTACTTAGCCATAAATTCTTTTCCTTTGCTAGAAAAAAAAATTACCTCTCTTTCTTTCACACCTGTCTGCACTGTCTTTTGGCCTGGCTGCTGAGGTGGGGTGGGACTGGACGTATGTAGATGAGAGCTGTGTGGGAAGAGGACCAGCAGTTAAGGCCCTTAGTTGCCTGTCCACCGGTCAGCACCCTGCCTAAGGCTATAATTACTGCTACCACCTTGTGGTGAATTACCAGCTTCTCCGACAGGCTGGCCTCACAGTGTTCCCTGCTAGCCTACTCTCTGTCCTCTGTCCTTATATGCCTCCTGGCGAGTGCCCTAGTCTGCATCACTGTCCTCAGTCTCAAACCTCATGCCCAGAGGATGGGGGAAGGTGTACTTCTCTTCACTGCTCTTGTGGTTTTGACTTGGGGTTAGGCAGGTGGAGGATGAAGGGCTGCTAAATGCCCTGGAAACTGGGATTGTTTTTCCTGCAATCAGAGCTTTTGGCAACTCTTAAGCAACACAAGTACCTTACCCTGCATTTTTCAGATGAGGTTTATACAAGGACTAAGAGAAAACTTGTCAGACCAGCCAGTACGCAGTACTGACACTAGGATTCACACCTGCTTCCCAGACATTACTCTGCCCTACTTCCTCCTGATCTGGTGCCCATATATCAAGGCCCATGCAGGGCGTGTATTTCCTACCTCTTGAGTTTGTGTATGGCTCATCTGCTTAGAGGGTGTCCCATTCTCCTCTTGCAAATCCTATTTCAGATCCTATTCAGCTGGCATCTTCTCTTCAAGTCTCTCTAGGAGAGCCTCAGGTCACATGTTGCATTGTTTTAGAACTGGTCTGTTTCCAATCTTTTGCACTAAACTGCACAGCACCTTAAACATACACTAATGACTGCAGGTGAAATTACCCCCTTAAAACATCAGGTGGTAGCTGTTCAGGAGAAAGTAAGAATCCTATAGTAGTATCGTACAGTAACAATGGATTTGAACTCATCTAAACTTGAGTTCAGATTCTCACTTTTAATCAATTACAAGTATTTGGTTTTAAGCTGGGCACCTGGGGCTCATGCCTGTAATCCTAGCTACATAGAGGCTGAGATTTGAGGATTGCTGGGCAGCAAAGTCACCATAAGGCTCTTATCTTCAGTTAACCACTCAAAAAACAAACAAAAATCCCAGAAATGGAGCTGTGGCTCAAAATGGTAGAGCGCTAGCCTTGAGCGAAAGAGTTCAGGGACAGGGCCCTGGCCCTGAGTTCAAGCTCCATGACTGACCAAAAGAAAAAAAAAGTATGTGGTTTTGAGCAATTTTTCAAAATTTCAGAAGCTCGATTCCCTCTCCCCCTAGCTATAAAATACAGAGGAACAACAACAAACACTAAGCACTAAAACTCAATGGAGATTTCACTAAGTATTTTGTGTGTGGGGGGGTAAGGATAAAAAACAAAACAAAAACAGCCCCCCCCAAAAAAAAACCAGTCTTGATTCCAGTCTGCTTGGCCTGTGAACTACTGACCTGCACTTTTCCACCATGCTGATCAGACAGCTTTTCTGACATATACCCTCTGCTCACGACCCTTAGCCTACAGTTCTACTCAGCCATCACCAGCAGCTATGCCTGGTACTTACTCCATCATCTTTGTCAGCTGTCCTGACAAAAATTGCCAGACATATTGCCAGGTACAGTGCAGGACTAAGGAGCTGTCTCAAAAGGCTCCAGGAATTACCAGGGGCTACTTTGGGGCCTTTCCCTTGATTCTGACAGCTTTTTCCAGTGATAAACTACAGCTCCCTGCTTGAGGTATTACATGAAGCAAAACTGAATGAGCCTTGGAGTCTGCTTTTTTTTATCTTTTCATACTCCTTTAACTATTTGACTACTTTATCTGTATTTAAAAGTTGGTATGAAAACGAGATTTTTGTGTGTGTGCTGTTTTTGTTTTCTTTTTGTTCTGTATGCTTGTTTATATGTCATTGGGAGTGTAAGGGGAGGCACAGAAATAGAGGGTCAAAGAGTGAACAAATGCAGCAGTGGTATTCACTGGCACTGTTGAAAATGAACTATACAACTTGTAGGTAGAATATGAGGGAAAAACTGGGAGAGAGCGGGGAAAAGGGTGACACTGTCCAAAAGGAAATGTACTCTTTAGCTGACTTATGTAACTGCAACCCCTCTGTACATCACCGTTATAATAATAAAAACAATTTTAATTGGCATGATACAGAAGTCTGTTTGGTTAAGGCAGTGTCTATGAGTCTGTGAATTAGTCACCAGTTTGATGTTGCATGCTGGTAACCCAGCAGTTCTGGATCTTGGTGGCAGTCAGTTGCTGGAGCTCTATTGGATGTTATCCTAGTGAGGACTCTGCAGCAGCTCTGATCCCAAAGGTCCAATCTACTAATTACTTCCCAAGGACTCCAGCTCCAATTACCATTAACATGAGCCTCTCAGGAGTACATTTCCAATACATCAATTCCAAAACACACCTAAATCACAGCAGAAGGGGGCATTCTAAATGATCTTTTTTTGGGGGGGTGGTAGAGTGGGGCACTGTCCCTTACTATTTTGTTCAAGGCTACCACTCTAGTACTTGAGCCATAGTTCGACTTCCAGCCTTTTGGCAGATGATTGAAGATAAACATCCTCTCAGGCTGACTTTAAACCATAATCCTCAGATCTCAGCTACCTGCTGACTTGAGAGAGCTAAGAATGGGAGAAATGGTGGCCATCTAACCAGTTGGTCTTGCTTTTGGTCGTTGCTGTGTCAGAAGTATGTGGTTAGCTATCTGCTGCTCTGCATGAATTTCTTTTCTAAATAAAATTTTATACACGTGGATTTGTATGCTTTACATAAATCCTGAGTAATGTTCCAAGAAATAAAACTTAGGAAGCATAATAAATTTTAAGTTGGCAATTTGGACACAGGACTGATTTTTATGTGCTGTTAACCTAAGATACTCAAATGTTAATGTTGTTTGACTGGTATCCAATAGATGCTCCCTAGTATTTTCAAGTCTTTAAACTTTATAGATTGTGATCCCTTGTAGATACTACTAAGCTTAATAAGCCTACTTATTAAATAATGTGTATTTGTACCAATTCTGGGGCCTGAACTTAGAGCCTGTCACTGAGCTTTTGTGCTCTACCACTTGAGCCACAGCTTCAGTTCTGGCTTCTTGGGTAGTTAATTGGAGATGAGTCTCCAATATCCTCTCTTGCCCAGGCTGGGTTCAAACTACTCAGCCTCCTGAGTAGCTTGGATTATAGGCATGAGCCATTAGTGCCCAGCTTTTTATTTCAGATATCTAGAAAAATAAAAGCATATGAAGAACGAATTTTTTTTAGAAATTTCTGAGAATTCTATTATTTTGGTTGTTCCTTCTTTAGCTATTGAGGTATAACTGATAAAAAATATGTATTAAAGTATGGAGAACTTGACGTTCTGATATGTATATACACTAAGTCACCACAAGCAATTAATATACCCACCACTTCACGTAGTTACCTGTCACCTTTTTCTTGTTCTTGGTTAAAATACTTAAAAAATTTACTCCCTTAGAAACTTTCAAAATGTACTGTACAGTACTGTTAACTATAGTCACTAAGTTGACAGCTCTTCAGACTGTTCATTTTGTATAACTGAGATTTTCTACCATTTGGCCAATGTATTTTCCAACCCCTGGGAAGAATCTTAGTTTCTTATTTTTAATTTCCAACGGTAAATTTTGTTTTGGGTCCAGTCGTGGGCCTGAACTCTGGGCCTGGGTGCTGTCCCTCAGCTCTTCAGCTCAAGGCTAGCACTCTACCACTTGAGCCACAGCGCCACTTCTGGCTTTTTTTCCTGCTTATGTGGTGCTGAGGAATCGAACCCAGGGCCTTATGCATGCAAGGCAAGCACTCTACCACTGAGCCAACTTCACAGCCCCCAACGGTAAATTTTGTTGTGAATTTAGGAAACACTAACCAGGACCACAGAGACTCTCCTGCCCAAGAGGCCTGCAGAGCTCAGTCAGGAGGGTTTAGAGAGCTGCTAGCTTTAGAGCTTGGATGAAAAACCCAAGCCTTTTGACACTTGGTGACATTCACTTCCCATTTCAACCCATCAACTTTAACCCACATAATAAAAATCCCCCCCCACCTGCTTCCATTGTGGCTTTCTAACAAGGGTAGCTGAAAGGTTGACATGAAAGCCTGAAGATGTTGAAGGGCAGACATTAACACAACTAAGCCTTCCAGGCTACACTTAATTTGGTTCAAAAAAAAAACTGGCCTTCACCTCTATGTAAGAACCTCCTACCCCTTCACATCTTTTTTCTCCAAGCTGCCTAAACCTAGAGATTTGTTTTAATCAGGCACCATCTATTGTTGGTGTATGAAGATGAGAAAACAGAGGAACCTGACCTACCGGTTATAACCTGCAGTCACATGATGCAACTCAGTTCAGGTTTCTGGAATTGCAGGCCCATGTGTGCCTGTACTTTGGTATTTTAATAGAGTCATTTTCTAAGTTCATTTCCTTCCATCTCTGTGCCCTTTAGCTAAATGTTTTATGTCCCAACAGATCAGGTCCAGTAGATAAAAAAAAATGTTGCACACACTCTTCCAAAGGCACGAGCATGGCTGGGAGAATGTTCTAGACAGTGGCAGAAGTAGGGTTGTGCCATGTTCAGCCTACTCTCCAGCAGCGGAAGTCAGAGCCAGTTCCTTCTGTTAGCCAACAAATGATTGATGAAAAATTGAGAAGGGAAAGACAGATGAGTTTTCAAAGGGAACTTGTATGTTGTAAACCAAACACATTAATTATAACTTTAATATAACAAACGTTATTAAAAAGCAGCAATTCAAAACAACGTATCTTTTAGAAGGTGCACAGGGTTATAAGGTCAGTTGGCAGTAATGCAGCTGTTACCCCGTCAGAATGAAATGCTGGAGTAAGAGTTAGGTCCCTACTGTCTTCCCAAGAAGGCAAGGCACCCCCTGCCCTTCCCTCTGCAGACCTAGAGCTTCTGTGGAGCCCAGTGGGGAAGGTACAGATGTACTGTTACAGGCCTTGATTAGCCATCTTCTCAGAAGCCTGGAAAGCACTGGGAGATGGCTGTGCTAGCTGAAATCAGTAGGAAGCCACAGACTGGATCCCTGGTCCCACCCCCTTGCTGGCTGGGAGCTGGCATCTCAGCTCCCCTTCCACCTGGGCCGTCAGCAGGGCCTCAGTGGCAGCAGCTGTGGGGCTGAGAACTAGGCCCAGTGTCCATCTGGGCTAAATGGGAAGCAGAGGGAAGTGGGCGGGCTGTGTGCAGGGGAGGAGGTGATGTTCCCTTGAAAGGCACTGTAGTAGCTGAGGTTTAAGGCAAGGCCATCTAGCCTATCTGTGGGTCATCGGGAGTGTTTGCGAGTGGTGGGGGGGCAAGCCTAGTGGCAGGAGACCTTGCTCCTCAGGAATGCTGTTCTGTTTTCTCCACCTCTGCCCACCAGCTGGCAGCCTGTACAACCCGGCCAAGCCAGAGACCTTGCAGTTGGCAAGGCTGGTCCCAGTCTGGTACTCCTGCCCTCCTGTTCCCTAGTCAAGGCACTTCTTTCCATTTTCCCACCAAGTGAGTCAGTTTCTAATGTATCTGGAAGCAGCAAAAAAAAAAGAGGGGTGTTCACTCCCTCCCAATTTTGGTTTCCTTCCCAACAGAGCTGAATGAATGTCTGTTCTAGGAATTCTATTTATACCTCCAGTAACAGGCTTGGGCCCTTGAAAAACCCCAGCCTATCCCCCAAAGTGACTGTCAGTTTCAGACAGGGAAGGGATAGGAGAGTGAGGCCCCACACTTCCTTGTGGGGGAACTAAGCTGGCTCAAGGCCAAAGGAAGGGAGACAGGACTTTCACATTCAGTTAAAGCACATGGCCTTACAGGAGGCCAAAGGACAGCCAAGAGCGAGAGCCAGGCTGCCCCAGAGGGAATGTGTGGCAGTGTATGTGGGTGCATGTGGTAGCATGAGGGCATTGTGTTGTGGCTGTGTGTACACATGGTGCCATGAGGACATGTGTGTTACTGTGGCTGTGCACGCATGGTGTGTGTGTATTTGTGTGGCATGAGAGCATGTGTCATGTGGCAGTGTCTGTGTACATGGTGGCACCAGGGCATGTGTATTGTGTGGTGATGTGCATGGTGACATGAAGTCTTGTGTGGCTGTGTGTACACATGTGGCATGCGTGGTGTGGCAGTGTGTGGTAGGTCTTGGATTTAGCAGGTCCCCCAGAGATTCCCAGTCCCCTAGATGACCGAGGACTCCTCCATTTCAGCCAGGCCAGGCCCAGCTCCATGGCTGTGGTCTACAAAGAGCTGTGGTCTGGTGATAGGCAAATTTCTGGGGCTTACAGAACTGAAGCCAGCAGGCCTCCCTTCCAGCCTTACTAAGGGGTCCCACTGCTCTCTGGGCAGAAACCTGGCTCTTCACTCCTCAGGCTCTGGGTCCCCGCATCTCTGCCACAGGGGCATTTCCAGAGGCAGGGGGAATGGCAGGAAGGGGCAGGGAGGTCCTTCAGTCCCCTCTTCTCCTGCCCTCATAATGTGGTCCCAAGGAGGACAGCGCCCATGGCCAGACATGTAGGTTACCCAGTGGAGGAACAGATGTGCACATGGAGAATGTGTAAACACACAAACACCCTGAAAGGGGAGAAGGAGAAAGGGTCACGAGCCAGGGGAACACAGATTTGGAGGAACCAATAAACAGCTGGAGGGGTGTGAGTGTGCAGACACTGAAAAAGAGCCGATCTGGTCTCAGAGATACAGCAAGGGAGATAGGCCCAAGGAGGCTCCATAAGAGCACCGGCACGGTCAAGGCAACACAGGCCTTGACTTTGGCCTGGTGGGCACACAAGGCAGGGCCTTCTGCAGCTCTGTCCAGGTTGCCTCCCCTGCCCAAGCCCGAAGAAAGGGGGGGGGGAGCATATGGCTTCTGCTGTAACTCCTTTGGGTTTTCAGGGCTCCAGGTGGCCCCCGAGGAGTGGTCAGTAAGGGGTAGTCCCTTCCCATTCCACCAGGTACTGAACCTTGCCATCTGGCGTGACCCTCCGAGCCAACACCTGGTACTTCTCCCCACAGGCCAACCGCCCAGCTGCACCAAAGTAGTTGGTGATAGATGACTTGAGGTGGGACAGGGAGGAGTCATCTTCACTGATGCTCTCAAATGTGTGGCTGTCGATGGCTTCGTCTGGTCGCTCAGGGCCCGAAGCTCCTTCGGCACTGCTGTCAGAGGGGCAGCACCCACCCAGCTCTGCTGCGCGTCGCTTTGCTCGCAGGGGCAAGTACGCTTTGGCTGCCAGCTTCCTCTTACGGCTGCCCACTGTCCGCCTGCATCGGGAGGGGAAGAGGGAGATGTGAGGAATGAGATGAAACAATAGAAACAGACTGCTCACCCTGAGCAGTCTCCTGGGGGTCAGGCACTGTGCTAGACCTTGAGAGTGGGTTATTTTAGCGGAGCCCCACAGTAACCCTGTGAGGAGGAAAGCTGAGGCTCTAGAGAAAGAAACACCTGTGGAGAGGAAAGGCCAATAGTCACCAACTCTGAAGTTGATGCTCTGTGTCTGGGACCTAGGATGGCACAGTGGGAGGTGACATTGTCTGCACCTCTTGCAGTTGTGCAGTGCTTGGCTTAGGTTGCCTTGCAGCTAGATGAACCCTCCATGGATAAGGACTAAAAAATAAACAACAAAACTTGTTCCACACAGGTAGAGGTATTAACAAAATGGACACCCAGGACAAGATGCATATTCACAGATGCGTAGAAACAGAAGCCAGGACCCAAAACACTGGTGAGAACAAGGAGATAGGAAAAAGTACATTAAAATACAGAGCTAGGGCTGGGAAGTTGGCTCAGTGGTAGAGTGCTTGCCTTGCATGCATGAGGCCCTGGGTTCGATTTCTCAGCACCACATAAGCAAAAAGAAAAAGGCCGGAAGTGGCGCTGTGGCTCAAGTGGTAGAGTGCTAGCCTTAAGTTGAAGAGCTGAGGGACAGCACTCAGGCCCAGAATTCAGGCCCCACGACCAGACCCCCCCCCAAAAAAAATAAAAATAAAATACAGAGCTGGGGGCATGGCTCAGCAGTGGAGCACTTGCTTAGCATGGGTGAGGTTCTGTTCAATCTCAGCACCACACGCACAATAGTAATAGCAACAATAACAACAACAACAACAACAAATAGAGGCAACTGCAGAGAAAGACACCTAGACAAAGATGGAGATGGAAAGGCTTCAAGACCCTTTTATGGGCATTACACTTTTTTGCGTGTATCCTAGGCTTGAATTCAGCGCTTGGCCACTGTCCCTGACCTTTTTTACTCAAGGCTAGTGTTCTATCACTTCAGTGACAGCTCTATTTCTGACTTTTTGGTGGTTAATTGGAGATAATCTCACTGACTTTTCTGCCTGGGCAGGGTTCAAATCATGATCCTCAGATCTCAGGCTCCTGAGTAGCTAGGATTAAGGTGTGAGCCACTGGTGCCCAGCTTTACACTTTTACTTCTACTTCTGCAAGGGTCATACATACCTTAAACTATAGTTAGAGGAACTGAAATGCAGAAGAAATTCTGTGTCCTACAGCACCCTTACCCCTGTGCTATTGACCCCATCCCACTTTTGACAGACTGTACCCCCAGCCAGGCCTCCAGGGATTTCTGTTCCTCTCCCAGGCCATGTACTCTTTAAGATGCCATATGCCCCCTGCTTGCTCTTGGTTCTTTCCCTTAGGGACCCTGGGAGATAGATCTGGCTTGGAGAGTCAGGAGCCTGGACCAGAGCCAGACAGACTCAATTGCACAGGGTTCTGAGCCTAAGCTTCAAATGCACAGAATGAGCCTGCACACAGGGCAGGCAGAGGAGCTGAGGAACTGATGACCTGGCCAAGCTTGAGGGCAAGCTTGGACTCCAGGCAGCTCACCTGGAGTTATAGGAGAGGCTGGTGGAGGCAGAGCCTGAGGTGCTGGCAGCATCGGTGGAGTCCAAATCAGAGAAGAAGGTCTGGCCTGAGCTGGCACTGAGACAGGGAGCAGGTGAGGTCAGGTCCTGTCACCCTAGGGGTCCCTTGGGACCTTCTGCAGCCTTTCTCCTTCCCTTCCTCCCTCTCTGGGATAAAGAATCCATCCTTTAGCCCAGTGGAGGCCCATCTTCCCATTACCCCCACACCTGCCTGTCTGTTTTCTATACATCCAACCTTCAAAGTCTGGGAATCAAAGCCTTCCCTCATCACTCCGCTGGTGGTGGTGATGTGCTGGGGCTGGTGTTTTACGAGCCACACCTCTCTGGGAGGTATGCAACACCCAGATCCAAAGTGTTTCTATTATTTCTATTATAGACATGAAAGAGGTTCAGAGAGATTAAGGAATTAGCTAAAGCTACCCAGCTAGAATGGGAAGGTAGGTCTGGAGCTCAGATTTGTTAAACTCTAAATCCTCTACCTCTTCCTCAATGACTCCAGGAGGCACTGAATGATCTTCAGTAACCTCAAGCACAGGATGCCCCCAAGGCAGATACAGGAAGGCTTCTGCATGACACAGTCTAGGACAGGTCAGTGAGGGCTTCCTGGAGGAAGTAGCATCCGGGTTTTTGGATGCGAGGAAAGGACAAAGGGCAGTCTGGGCAGAAGGGAGCAACTGAGCACAGATGAGGTGGCATTAAACTGTAAAAGGGTGGGGTAACTACTGGGGCTTTGGTCCATGGCAGCTATGATGAGGTAAGAAGAGGCAGGGGGAAGGGCTGGAGAGGAGGGGTCTTTCTTAAAGCATCCTGGGCTCCTGCAGAGAGTGAAGGATACTGTGCTGAAAGCTCTGATGTACAGAGACCTTGTGGCTCATGAAACGTTGTCACAAGCACACAGGACAGGAGATAGTACCACTATCGTGGTGCTTCCTTGTCTAGCCCCCTTCCAGCACTGGTGGCTAATGGACACTTGGCTTCCATCCCAATCTCCAGAGCAGCCCGCCCTCTCTTTGCTGGGTCCCTTACTAATACCTTTTCAAGCTCTGCATTTCATCCAGCGTGAAGTCAAATATGCTGGCCAGGTGGTGGTTGGTGCTCCAGGCTGAGGTAAAGTCACTCTGTGGACAGAGACAGGACACGTCAGTCAGCAAACATCACATTTACCTTCCCATGCACTTCTCTCTCCCATGGAGGCTACACAGACTTCCTGCTGTCCAGCCTCAGCTGCTGAGGGCTGGGCCCTCCCCAGGGAAACACCTGTCACTTCCTCTTCATTCTTCTTTTGGGCAGAGAGGGACATCACCTACACCTCTTTGGGCCTGAGCTATTTCAGTGGAACAATGGGGGAGGGGGGTCAATAACCCCTGCCTGGCTTCACTCTTAAGAGATGTCAGGAAGCACAGGAAGATTCGATAATGGTTGTCCATGGACCTTGAACACTAAAAGTGCTGGGAAGACGAGGCTTGGCTAATATTACTGCCCCCCCGGGAAGGATTCAGTTCCAGGGGCACATAAAGGGAAAGGCCCTCTTCAGTGCTGCTCTAGACTGCAAACTGCCGCTGCATTGATGTGTGTGGTCCCAGTAAAAGTCACTGCCTCAGTTTCTCCACTTCAACAGTACAGGCAAGGATACTGCTTATCCCTGGCTCTAGGTTCTCAGAAGAATTTGGGGAGATAAGGAATGGTTTTGAGGTGCCTGGCTTTTCCATGTTTTCCTGTAAGAAGAAATGGGATATGGGGAGAGTCCCCTAGGCTTGAGGGGACATGGTTTTCTGCACAGAAACCCCTAAGAGGTGTTGGCCCTGTGCGTGAAACTGGAGAATAAGAAAATCAGGAACTAACACTGGGAATAGCATCTTCCAGCAAAAACTTTGATCTTTTTCTTCTATAAACTCGCCTTTTCTGCTGCTGGAATTCGTGAGGCGACAAACTGTGGAGACAGAAAAGGGAGAGGGTGGCCCAGTCAGAGGCTGAGGGCCAGAGAGTGGGCCAAACAAAGGAGCCTTGGGAGCACTGGGGCCCATAAGGGGACTAGATTGGCTTGGCCAAGGGAGAGGGATCCTGGGGAGCAGGCCCTTCCTCTGGAGCAGTGGTATGGAGGGGCTCTAGAGGGCAGAAAAGCAAAGGGGCCACTTGTATGTCCAGACACCCTGCCCCTAGGCCCCAGAAATGGGGGCCTGGCCCTGCTAGGAGGGTGCCCTTTTCCCAGTCCTAATGCAGCAGGGCTGGGTCTCAGGATCTGGGTGCTACTCCCTACCCCTCTTGGGGATGCCTACAGTAAGCCCAGTTGGTGTAGGGACTCCTGACTTACAGGGATGCCCCACACTGCCTGGTTCTACTGCATAGTCTGCTATGTGCTGCGCTTAGGAGCTCCAGGCAAGAGCCTGAGCTGCTGCAGCCCCATCCCCAGATGCCCAGCACTGACCTGGCCTTGCTCCTTCCTCTCTTACGCAGCAGCTCCAGGGAGGTGCTGCTCTCACTTGGCACCAGCCCTTTTTCAGGCAGCAGCTTCCCAGGAGGGTTGGGTGGGACGCGGATACGCAGGCGGAAGATGCACTTCTTCTTCTTGATCTCCTTGCCGCAGAGGAACCTGGGCAGACAGAAAAGTTGGTCAGTCGGTCGTAGGAGTACTGGCAAGTGCCTCCTTTCACCCAGAGCTCCTTCGTGACCTCTGGGGTCTCTCAGACAGTTCCCCCCTCCCCGCTTTGGCATGTGTGTGGTTCTTGCTTTCTTCCTGGCTTCAACCAGCTGCTATCCTACAGGAATGACCCCAAGGCTACAGAGTGCTTACGGAGTGCCATGACCACCAAGAGGCAAGAAGTCTCATACTGAACAATAGGACAGATCTGGGCCATAAACTATGAGGAAGTAGAAGCAAGTCACTCTGACAGAGGAGCCTAGAAACTCTAATAGAGCAGGGGCCTCTGTGGCCTCAGTACCTGGCATACAGATGCACTCAAAAAATACTTGCCGATGGAACAAATGAATACAAGTGATGGAAGAGCATCCTGGGTAATGAGCAAGAACTGGGTGAACTGAACCTGTATCCCAGCACTGGGGAAGGTCAAGTGGGAGAATCTGGACTCAAGAGCTGGATTCAGCGGGGAGCTAGTGGCTCAGACCTGTCATCCTAGCTACTCAGGGGGCTAAGATCTGAGGATAGTGGCTCAAAGCCAGTCTGGGCAGGAAAGTCCATGAGACTCTTATCTCCAATAAACCACTCAGAAAACTGGAAGTGGCACTGTGGCTCAAGTGGCAGAGAGCTAGCCTTGAGCTGAAGAGCTGAGGGACAGCACTCAGGCCCAGAGTTCAAGCCCCACTACCAACAACAACAACAATAACAAATAAAAGCCTTGGGTAATAGACATGGGAGTCTGGACATTCTCTTCCATGGTCATGAGGGATGTAGCCACCTATGTGTGCTAAGAGCTCAAAATGGAAAGACACTCGCTAGGGCATGGGTTGTGAGACTATGGCCCGACTGAGAGCTGGTTCCTAGCTAAGACCCCTAGCAGGCTGGAATAGAAGGCCAATGAGCAGGGGTGTTGATTGGCCCATGGAACTGGGCCCAGCATCCAAGTAAGTCAGGCTGCTGGGGCCCTGGGGAGGCTTTGCAGCAGACCCTGGATCCCTTTGGCTTTGGATTACCAAGAATGGGAAGGATTTCCCCAGCGAAAGAGAGGGGGCGGAGGACCAGGTGGGGAGCACAGCTTGAGCAAGGGCTATGAAGCAGGCAGAAGCTGAAATCACACAGCACTACCACCCCCCCTGTACGCACCGGCTTTTGTAACTGTTCAGAGCGTTGAGGAGATGTGGTCCTCGGTCTGTCACAGGGGTGCTGGTGAGCTAAGGGAGCAGGCCAGCAGGACAGTCAGACCTAGGCACAAGTAGTGTCTGCAAAGGCCCCTTCTCGCCCCTCCCCCTCCATCTCCTGATGCTCCTTATCCTCCACGTGATGACCACTGAATTACATCATCATCTCAGACAAGTCTTTCACCTCTGAGTTCATTCTCCATCTGCAAAGGGTGAGGAAAACTCCTGGCCTAAATATATCAAGAGCTGTATAGGATCAGGGATGTAGCTCAGTGGTAAAACTTGCTTGGCAAGTCCAAAGCCCTGGGTTTAATCTCCAACACTTCCAAAAAAAATGTCTACACCTTTGGTTCAGTCATAGGCTTAATGATAGCGACATAATACATATATAACATATAATATATGCCATTTTGTATATATACACATATTATATACATATATATATATATATAATTTTACTTACAAAATGTGTACTGTGACTTTGTTTCTAATGGTGGACAAATAGGAAAGAAACAGGAAGGACACTAGCGAACTATGGCAGAAATCAATACAACCATTTCCTGTTTAGGAATCTGGGTGTGTTAGCATATGCCTGTAAGTCTAGCCCTTGAGTCCTAAGGCAGGAGACCATGAGTTTGAGGCCCAGCCTGGGAAACACAGCAGGCCTGGTCTGTCTCAAAACAATAAGATGTTTATGAAAAAAACACTAATAATATGGAAAAGTATTTACAACATAATGTAACCTAAAAAAGATGATTTAAAATTTTATATACTTTGTCATGTAAACTATGTAAACAGAAAAGGCTGCACAGAAGCAAGATCAGAAGGAATGTACTTATCTATGCATATTATTTCTTGTTAATCTGGGTAGCACGATGTGGGAATATGGATTTTTGCAAGCATACGTTTGAGCAATTGAAAAATTGTCCAAAAGACCACGTATGCTTTCATTATAAAGCAGGAAAAAGAAGTTATTTTAAAGATATCAATGGCTGGGGCTGAACTCAATGATAAAAGCACTTGCCTAGCACATCTAAGTCACTAGGTTTTATCTCTAGAACCCAAAACAAAATAAAACAACAAAAAAATCAAATCAAACCAAAGCCTCAACTGTCCAGGGTATACATGTATGCATGTGTGTGGGTAAATATGTATGCATATATGCATATGTAGATATATAAGACATAGTGTTTATAAATATGTAAACATGTATTTTGTAAATGTATATTTGATAAAATATGTATCAAATATATATCTGTAAAACATGTTTTATAAATGTTTAAATGACCAAACATTGTAAATAAGATGCTATATAAAGCTTTTGCCGGCCGGGCGCCAGTGGTTCACGCCTGTAATCCTAGCTACTCAGGAGGCTGAGATCTGAGGATCACTGTTCAAAGGTAGCCTGGGTAGGAAAGTCCATGAGTCTCTTATCTCCAGTTAACTACCAGAAAGCTGGAAGTGGTGCTGTGGCTCAAGTGACAGAGATCAGGGACAGAGCCAGGCCCAGAGTTCAAGCCCCATGACCAACAAAAATAAACAAAACAAAATAACTTTTGCAAGTATATGAGCTACCTTTTGTTTTTGTTTTAAATCAAGGGTTTGAGGCAGTCAGTAGGGAGGATGCCTCCCTCTGTATGTTGTAGAATTCTGAGGGTGTCATTGGGGGCCTGGGCACATATCCACAGTGTGAGTATTTGGAAAGGCCCTATTCTAGCTCAGTTTTGGCTCTTCACCTTTGACATCCTCACAAAGTCCCTGTTATTACCTCCTACCTGGTATGGGATCCACAGGGGTGAGTTCCCCTCCACTCTCCCCCCTACCCAAGATCTTGGATAGGCCAAACGCCTTAGCAGAGAGCTTTCCCCAGCCCCATCTTGCCTAGTGCTGAGTTAGTGAGCCTCTTCCTCCACCAGCCAAAATGTGAGATCTTAAAACCCCTTCCAGGGCACAGGCTTGGAGGTCTGGAGTCAGGGTATTACAGTCCAAGGATAACAGCTCAGACACCTAGCAACCATGTAGACATCTGACTATTGTCCCTCGGGTACCCCAGCTCTTCATACCTTGCCAAGCTGCAGGAGCTCCCAGTGGTGGTTGACAAAGGCCAGAATCTCCTCAAAGTCAAAGTACTTCTTCTTGCTCTGCACCCCCAGGTTGTAGAGAGCCAGGTGAACCACGTCCACCCTGGGCAAGAGGGCAAGGGCCAGGTGAGGGGTAGGGTGACCACAAGAGAGGAGAAAGAGGAGGAGCAGGGATGGGTAGGAATGAGTTGAAGTCAGCCACCCTCCACTCTCACCATCGCAAGGGCAGCCTCTCGATGTACTCTGGGCCTTGGTTACACACGGAGCAGAGGAATAGGTAGAACCTGAGGATGAGCGGAGAGGGGGCCTGTGCTGAGATGGGTTCTGATAACTCCCACAAGACAGCCCCTCCCACAAGACGGCCGTCTTCTCATAGTCAATATTCACTCCTAGGCTGCCAGCTGGGGATCAAAGAATAAACCCTACCTTTAGCCTGTCCTCAAATATCATAGCCCTAAAGAGCAGCTGAGTTCAGAGATGAGCTGAACCAAGATGGCCTATAGTGTCACCCTCATCCCTTCTGAGACATGCACACAATCACAAATGATTGAGACATGCACCAAAAAACAAACCAAACCACCTAATAGACAAATAAAGTGCCTTCCCTGAGCTTTACCTTATTGGTCAGAAGTATCCATGTCCCTAGTGACTCCTAGGCCAACTCCAGCCAGCCAAACTGGGACAGGGGCTATGCCATCCCTCCTTCCCAAGACACTTGAAGAAATGGGGGAGGGGGTTAGAGAAGAATTTGCCTATGGTACCCTCAGAATTAGTGATAAATAGGGATGCAGCCCAGCATGTCCCTTTATTGCCTCCTGGCCTATTACAGTTGTGGTCCTCTTTCCTTATAGCTGCCTCGCGCAGACAGGTATAGACTATCATAGACTCCTTACGTTATACGCCATCTCCTTATCCTTTTACCCCCACCTCAAGGTCTAGCTAGACCAAATCACACCTACCGATCTCCAAACACCATGGGCTCATTGAGGCACTGTGTGCAGGCCTCATGGAACCACTGTCTGCACCGGTAGCATTGTAACATCCGCAGGTACCATCTGGAGAGACAGGGAAACCAGGTCAGCTACATCACAGGCAGGAGGTGCAACAACCTTTCCAAACACAGACTTCCCCTTCATCGGAAGAAAGGAAAGAGGACTCCCAGTCACCAAGTGCCTGGGCTGTACAAGGGAAAGGCCCCGAGGGCTAGTATATGCCAACTCAATGGGTCTTACCATCTAATGTACGGTGCACCACCAACTCCAAAGTACAGATGAGTCAGAGGACTTTTGGCTTGCTCAAGATCAGAAAGTAGGTGGAGGAGGATGATTCTGATCCCCATCACCCCAACTTCAAAGCCCATGTTCTTCCTATCATGCCACACTGAAGCCTCCTCCTTTGTCTCCCAAACATCAATGGCAAGGATGGTTTGCCTGAGAAATCTCATGGAAGAATAATGTCTCCTGTAAGCTACATGGGGATAGACCTACATCTGCTTTTTTCATTTAGGACTGTATCTATCCTAGCACAGCCATTCCAACAACTAGTCCTTGACCATGAAAGAAACACACAGGTACTTTCTTAACAGTTAATGGAGATGTGGTCCAGGTTAATATGCAGATTCCTTGGTCCACTCCAGACTTGGCTAATCTTTGGCGAGGCCTTTGGAAGGCACATTCATAACAATCACTCATTAAGCATTGAGAAGCACTGTCTTATCAATGCTGTAAACATTTCTGTAAGCATTTCTCAATTTGTTGCCCATTAAGACTCCCAACTTTTGGGGAAGTTCATGGGTAATGAAGGTAAATAAGCCCATTTGAGAGATCAAATTGTTCAAGTTGTTTGCCTGAGTTACCCAGGTGGACTGTAAGCATAGCCTCTAGATCCTTAAGGTGTCAAAAGAACTAGCACCTGAGATTTATGACTTCAGTGGGTCCTGAAGCCAGTCTGCTGAAATCAGAGACACTACCTGCTTATGTCTACCTTCAGGGTCCTCTCACAATGCCTGGTGCAATCAGCCCTAGGGTACCGAGTGGATTGTTCCTGGCTACAGGAAGGTCCAGGCCAGCAAGGAAGAATCAGAGTCTGGTCCCACAGCAGGGCAAGAATGCCTTCTACAACATGTTCAGCAGACAGCCTTAACCCTGTTTGTACCTCTCTGGGCTTAGGATCTTCATATTCCATCTGTTTCATTGGCACTGACAATGAAAAGAGAACCATAAACACCCCCACACTCCCAAGCAGCAACTCACATTTTTAAGGTGTTTACCAAGATCCAGCATTGTGTGAATCTTTGACTCATCAAATGTAAGTTCTGTACACAGCCACCACCCAAGGGGAACTAAAACCGAGACTCAGGGGTCGTACATCTAGCAAAAGCCAGAACTAGGAGAGGACCTGGGCATCCTTACAAGGATGTGGCCTAGTACCAGGCCTAGACACTTAGCTATGCTTCAATACTTCCTCTTTTTCCAGAGGATCCAAGAAAATATCTGTCTCTACTCCCAATGCCACCTGGATGTTAGCTGGAGCCCAGGTCCTCAATCATCAGGTTCTCAATCTTCAGGTCCCGCCCCACGGGCCGTTCCCTGAAGCCTTGCCTTCAGGGCCTGGCTCCTTGAGGGTCCATGGCGGCCCGGCTCGCCGGATGTGTCCCAACCTGTCCTGCCTCCCTGGGAGTCCTACACTAGCGATCCAGCCCACGGGCCGACTGGCCCACCCCTCCAGGCCACGCCCCCTCGGCTGTCACTCCATTCCCCCCTGGTCGCGCCCGCGATTGTCACCCCACCCCTCTTGCGCCTGCCCTGCCCCCAAAGCTGTCACTGCCACTGCAGCTGCCATTCCGAGCGCGGCCTCCCCTGGGTCCCGCCCCACCCCCTCCCCAGGCTGTCATTCTGGGCCTGCCCCTCTAGGCTCCGCCCCTAGAGCGGTCTCGCTCCAGACCAATCAGATCCCACCTACGCCTGGCCCCCTTGAGACTGTCACTCTGTCAGGCCCCACCCCAGAACTGTCACTCCAGACCTACCGGGCCCCGCCTACGCCTGGCCCCGCCCCCGAGGCTGTCACTCCAGACCTGCCCCTGCTTGGCATTGCCAACTCGGGTCATTCCGAGCGAGTTCCCGCTCCCCCACCCCCAGGTCCCGCCCCCGGGGCTGTCACTCCAAGGGTGGCCGCCTGTCCCGCCCAGCCCAGCATCCGGAAGCTCCCGGAGCCCCGCCCCCGCGGCCTTACTCTCCCGGGCCTCCGCAGTAGCAGTAGCATTGCTGCTGGTTGGTGCGGTGGGGCGAGTCCCACTCGAGCTCTTCGGGCTGGTAGGACAGCACCATCTTCACGGCCTGCAGCGTCCTGGCGATGGCGCCCTTCTTCAGCGCCCCGCCTTTCTAGGGAGGAGAGGAGGGCTCAGAATCAGCCACACTTGCAGAGAGCTATCAAGGTGGGAATGCTAGTTGGGGCTTAGAGGAGACCCACATAATCCATGTAATCTCACCAATTACGAAAACATCCACTCTGTCCAACCAAGATCTCCAATTATTGTGGTACTCAACTAGTATGATCCAGGTAACAAGTCCCCATATGTACTGATGTGGGTATTTACATGAATCTTCTCTTTTAATAGTGAAGCATCCTTTCTGCTCCTGACACCAAACTTGACTCCATTTTACAGCTGAGGAAACTGAAGCTCAGATACTGAGGAATCTGGCCAATGGTCAAATAGCTGGCAAGTAGAACCTCTCTCTAAAGTCCAAGGCCCATTCTGCTTTGGAGCTCAAGATCTATGATGGGAGAGGGGGGTAGTCCCACAGCCCAAGTGGTGCCAGGTGAGAGGGCAGGAGCTAGGAAGGTCAGAGTGCTCACCCGCACAGCCAATGCGAAGATGCAGCGTCGACAGAACCAAGGAGTGAGCCGGGGCCCATCCGTACTACCTGCTATGGGGATGTGGCACTGCTGGTGGTAACCTATGGCAGAGGAGAGGGTAGTGAATGCCAGTGGCTCAGGGCCAGTGGGCCCAAAGATGGTAAGGCTGGGAGGGCTTCAATGAGGATAGTTCTGCCTGCTGGCTGCCAGGGCACTGGTTGCTGATACCCACCCAGGCAGGATACCAAATTGGTATCCAGGCTGGGGACCAAAAGGTGGCATTGACTAGTGTAAGAGGTACCTAGGAATGCCTTCAGCACCTGACCCCATTCTGACCCACCCATCCTCTTTGTGTGAGAGCCCCACGCTGCATGTTCCACTGTACTTTCTCAGGTTTCCTCAAGGTCATCTCCCTGGACCCTTGACCACAGAAACATAAAGACAAACAGGAAAGCCCAGCAGTGAGGAGCAGTGACCAGGGTAGAGGGGAGATGCACAGATCCAGACCTTCCAGTGTCCTGCTTGTCCCACTCACCTAGGCCACACTTCCCACAGATGAGGATCTCATTTAGCGGCCCTGATGTCTTCCCCAGGCATATATTGCATTTGGGCTCCTCCCCTGGGACACCAGCTGAAAAAGAGGGTCTTCTCAGGTCACATCCTACTCACAGGAAGAGTTAAGAAAATCACTGTCCAGGAGCTGAGCCTTGACTGTGCAACGGGCCTAGCACCAGGCTGAATCTGCCCCCAAACCCTTCTGAAGTACCTCTTATTGTTATTCCTTTTAAACAAAGTATTTTAAAATAGACGTACAAAGATGTTTCAATCCAACATGTCAATATATGTGTACAATGCATCTTGATCAGTGTCATCCCTACCATCATACTTCCTCCTCTCCCTTCTATCCCAACCTCAATATCATACACATTCTAAAGATGAAGAAATTGAGGCCAGAGGCTAAATTACTTGCTGAGCTAGAAAACAGGAGAGGTAAGATTCAAGCTCATAGCTGATAGACATCAAGACCTTTGTTCGATGTTCCCTCTCCCTTTTTTTTGTTGTTAAATAACACTAATGGGATATTATGACAGTCTGTTATAATAAAACTCCATTATTTAGTCAATGATTGTGAATGCAGAGCCAATCATGTTTTGATTATATTCTCACCCACTTCACCCTCCTGGAATTATTTTGAATCAAGTTCCAAACACCCAGTCATTTTCCCCATAACTATATCCATTATATCTCTGGAAAAATTAAAATTTTCTTTTTAGAAAACATCACCACGCATTTTATTTAACCTAAAACCGACTTTTATTAATATGAACAGTCCACAATTCCAACTGTCTCTCAAATAGAAATATCATCATGATTTTAAATTTATTTTTCCGAAAGAAGATTCAAAAAAATCCCCACACAGTGCCCAACTGATGGACTTTTACAGCTGCTTTTAACCTACTGGCTCCCTCTTCTCTCTTTTCATTTTGCATTTTTTGTTGAAGAATAAATGTTTTTATATGTATTTAAATGGAAGTTTATGTGGACTTAATATGTTGTTCATATGGATACATCAAATGGCATTCATCTCTCCATCACCAGGACCTCTCATGGAATACGGCCGGTAACAGGTGTTCAGAGCCTAGGCAGGGACCTTGTCTTTTATTCCTGAATAGACCCCAGGAAGGTAGTATCCACAGTGGGTTTCAGTACGTCTTCATGGCTTAATTAAGTGATGGTCATAACTACAGCATGCCCCGTCTTGTGTTCTCATGTTAGGAAGTGTCAGAGGGCCTCCATTCTGCCAGGAAGAAGCAGCCTGCTACAGAGTCGAGCTGGGCCTTCTATACAAGCCTTGCAAAAGTGAACTGTCTTTTATCTCCAGCTGCCTCCTTTTAGTGAAGGGGTAACCAGAAGAGGCCATGTTCATGGCTTTGGAGCCTTACATAGTATATTTAGGGTATAAGGGTCTTGGAGAAGGAACTGGTTTTTGTCAACACAGCTTCTTGAAGAAAGGGGCTGTTTGAAAGATCTAGAAACTGGCTTGGTTCTGCAGCCTCATGACTTCTTGGAATTATTATTTTTTATGGTAACATGTTATTTAGAAGCTGCTTCCTTAAAAGTAAAACAGGCTATATTGGGGAGCACGTGCCAGTGGGAGGGTGAACAAAGACAGTGAATAAAGCTGAGTACGGTTGAAGTACTTCATATGCATGCACAAAACCAGAACAATACAACTTACTGGAATTCTTTTAAGAAGGAGGTTGGGAGGATGAGGGCGAGAGATGGAGGAGAATGAGTTTGATCTAGGTACGCTGCATGTATGTATAGAAATGAAATGTCCCCTTGTACAACTAATATATGGTAATAAAAATCTTTTTTTTTAAAAAGAAGAAACCACTTCCCTTTAACTGCAGCACTAGCTTAAGCATTTTGCATGGATTTTCTCTCTGCCACCCTACAGAGCCAAGACTTTCAATATTTCCATCTTTCAGATGAAGAAACAGACTCAAAGATTGGATGTTACTTACAAAAGACTATGCAGCTAGTAACTGGCAGAGCTAGGTCCAAGGTCTATCTGACCCTAGAACTTGCCTCGTGCCCCACTCCACAGGGCCACATCTTTTCTTGTTTATAAATGGCAAAGAGGTTGCTTCTCTTATGCCAGCTCTCTGACTGATAAGGGCTATTTAAGGCTCTATGTCAAAAATATATGGGTGTTAGTTAAGCATTGGTGGCTTGCGCCTTTAATCCTACCTAACTCAGAAGGCTGAGATCTGAGGATTGTGGTTCAAAGCCAGGCCGTGCAGGAAAGTCCATGTGCCTCTTAATTCCAATTAACCACCAAAAAGCCACAAGTGTAGCTGTGGTTCAAATGGTAGAGCACAAACCTGAAGCAAAAAAGCTCAGGGACAATGCCTAGGCTCTGAGTTCAAATTCCAAGACCAGCAAAAAGAAAAAAAAAGAAGAAAAAAAATCTATGGGCGTTGTGACAGACTACAGACACCCATCATGGGCAGGGAAGGGAGAATGACAGCAAGAATGTCCCTAATTTGTCATCTCCTTAGATAATTTTAGCTATCTGAGGACAGGGATGGTACTGGGCCCAGCTTCCTTTCTGTCCTAACAGCTGATCCAGCTCCATTCAGACCTATCTGCCTTCACACTGCTTGGCTGGTCCCTCTCAGCTTTCATGGTCTTTCTCTAATCCCCACCTCCTTGTCTCCCAGGAATAGAACTACTTCCCCATACCAACAGGGGACATGGTTCAACTCTATAGGTGACAATTCTGATTGCCAGACCTCCTTTTCAGTAGAAGTACAGCAAGAAGACCAACACAGGCCTGAAACCCAGACCCCTAACTCCCAGCACTTGCCTATGTGACACTCCTACCTTTCCTGACTCCCTCCTGAGGTATGAGTTCCCAAGGAGGGGAGGGGGGACAGATGTCACACAACTGGACATCTGAGAATCCCTGGTGGGTTTAGGATTGGCAAGCCAGGGCATGTGCCAGGAATAAGAGATGGACAGAGAGAAGGAAAAACTAAAGGCAGTGAGGAGACTGAAAAGGGGAGCGGAGAGGGTCCCTGAAATGTTAGGATCACTCACCATGCTGTATGTCCTTCCAGAGAACCCAGTATTTGGAGTTGTCTTCAAAAGTCACAAGGCAGCTTTGCTTAGAACTGCTGACCTGGGGCACAGAGAAGCAACATGAGAAAGTGACTGAGAAAAAAAGAGCCAAATTGGACCCTGGTCTTCCTCATGTTGTTGTTTTGTGCTTTAGAGAGCAAAGTTAAGGGGCTGGGGATTTAGCTCAGCAGAAGAGCACCTGTCTGGCAAGTGCAAAGCCTTGAGTTCGGTCCTCAGCTCTGGTATGTGTGTGGGGGAACTATAGAGAACAGAGTCAGGCTAGATGAGGAGGGAGGCACTGAGCTCCTCACTTGCCCTGGAGCTTGGGTAGCTTGCCAGAAATATTGAAGCCAGATGATCACCTGTTCCCTTCTCCAGCCTGGGTCTCTTTGCTCAAGAAGGCTCTCAGAGCACCTTTCTAAAGAACTGGTTAGATTATGTCTTAGGAATGGTGTCTGCTTCTACTTCTAGCTTCTGGGAATGATTCATGACAAGAAGGGAACTCCTATGGGTGTTGTGACAGATTACTGACACCCATCATGGGCACGGAAGGGAGAATGACAGCAAGAATGACCCTAATTTGTCATCTCCTTAGATAATTTCAGCTTCCTTCCCCATCATTGGTCTGAATGCCAGGCCAGAGGATGCACACAGAGATGGCTGAACTGAGGACTAGGGACCAGAGTGGAGAGACTTTTACCCTCTTGATCTTCCCGAGGTAATACAGCCCATCTGTCCACCGGCACAGCACATACTGGCCCTCTGTCAGCTTGGACATCAGGTCTTTGAAGTTGTTCTTGTGCTTGGCCAGGGCTCCATTGTTGGGCAGGTGGCTGGTGACACCATAGGAATCCCGAGTCCCTGATTCAAGAGCTCGAGTCTCCATCCGCTTCTGCTGACACTGGGAGAGAAAGAAAATAATTTTTACTTCAGGCTTCCCCATTTCTGAAAGTCCATCAAAGGAAGGAAGAAAACTGCCATTTCTGATGCCAGCAATAAGTGTGACAGAAAAGTTCATTATCTGGCTGAATCTTCACAGTGACCCTAAGGGAGGATAGGGAAACTGAGATGTGGCTGTTGGGCCAGAGGCAGAGCTTTGATTCTAATTTTACTCTCACCCTACCCACACACCCACCTCAAGATGTTTCTAAGAGTAGCAATCCCAACCAATGCAGAGCTAAGGCTCTGTCCAGGAGGTGGTGGACGAGGGGGCTAAACCCCACTCCCTGCCTCAGCAGGCTGAGTTTTTATCCTGTGTATCCATGTTCTTAGGTGGAGCAGAGATCTTCTCCAACAGATCACATGGAAAAATTTTCTCTCTCTCATCCGATGCTGACACCCATCCAGAGAAAACTCACCTAGGAACAAAAGCTCCAGGGTGGCTTCGTGAGCTGGTACAACCGTACTCAGTTGTGTCTTTTGCAATCCTCTTTCTTGTTCTCAATTATGGGATGATTTAATGGAACTCAACCCTGGGACATTTATACCTGCTTGAGCTTTGACCAGAGGCACTTTTGCTCTGAGCAGTTAGACCCATGCCAGTCTCTCCATGCCTCCTCTCCCCATCCTAATGGGCAGTGCTGCTCCCCACTTACCTTTTCTTTCCTTGCTAATGGCACTACTATGGTCCCCAGAACACCCGACATCTCAGACTGCTCCAATAGTGAGCCAGCCTCTTCAAACACTGACTTCTAGCATCCCTGCCCTCTTTTAAAACATCCTGTCCTGGACTGGGGTCAGGCCTCATCTTTTGCTTGTGTCATTTCATTCATCCATTCATTCATTCACAACTTCAATACTTGTATCCTGAAACGGGTGCTCAGCTCTACTAGGCACCTGAGGTGAGGAAGCCCCCCCCCCCGAGGATTCAGGGCCACACTCCTGCTTTCCTGAATGTCCACCGGACTCTTTCAGAAACCTTGTGGCTCCCCCAAACCTTTATTGGCGCTCCCGGCCCGCTCTCCCCCTCTCTGGGCTCCTCTGGCACCATGCCTTTCCATACACTCTCCACTGTGGCCAAACAGTGCCTTGCTCTGTTCCCTGCGCCTCCTGCTCTGGTCCTCTCCCTCTGCCATGGCCCTGGGCACCTGGCCTCATCAGGGAGAATGCTGTGTTTCCGTGTGGGTGTAGCCCCCCCCCCCCGTGACATCCTGATGTCTACCCAGCACTGAGTAGAGAACCTAAAGATTGCAAGCGCGTGCCTGTGCGCGTGCGCCACACGCTGTGGGCACGGGGCGCAGGGCACTGACAGGGTCTTGGCTTCCCTGATAGTGAGTGGGCAGAGCTCTGCCCGGCCAATTCGCTCCTTTCTCCAGGGCAGAGGCCCAGGCACTGGGCAGGGGTGCAGTCTGGAGCCCCTGCCCTCTTCCTGCCACCTGGCTCCGTGGGCGCGGTGAGGACCCCGCCCGGCTGGCCGTGGCAGGTTCACAAACTGACACCTCCAGCCCCGCCGCGCCGCGCCCCCCTGGCCCAGCGGGCCCCCACCCACTCCGCCCTCATCCTCCCAGAACGGGGGTGGTGGTGGTGGAGGGCTGTGATTGGCTGATTCAAACCCATCTGCACCGACAGGACTGTTTGCGGGTTCCCGTCCGCGTCCAGTTCAAATCCGCGGCCCCCGGCGCGGCGCGCGGGGCCGGGCGGGGGCAGGAAGCGCGGGTGATTCATGCGCCGCCGGCCCTCCCGGGGCGGCCGTTGGCTCCCCCCGCACCCCCCTTCAGGTTGTTCAGTAGGAGAGAAGCTTGCAGCCGTGCCCCCTTAGGGGTTCCAGCGCTCCTCTCCAGTCACCCCGACGCCCCAACTCTCCCCCACCCCACCCCGCCGCAGCCTCACTTCGGACGTGAGCAAAATCCCCAATGCCCCGGCTCCATCCCCTTTGCAGGAGAGGGAAAGATTTGGGGGCCAGGTACTGCGACCTGTCGATCGCGTCCCGCCTCAAGACCTGGGGCCCCGCTTGGGGTGTCTAGCAGGTATCCCGCGCCCTCCCGTCCTCATTTCCAAGTGCACGGCCCGCACCCCTCCCCCGCCCCGGGTGGAGGCGCGGGGGGGGGGG